TTTTTGGGTCTTTTTTGGAGACAGGTCTTCCTATGCAATTCAGACTGGCCTTGAGCTTACTTTGTAGCCCAGGCTGGTCTCAAACTCACAATGATCCTCGTGCCTCAGCCTACAGAGTGTTGGAATTACATGTGTGCTGAGATTACAGGTGGAGACAGGGTCTCTCTATTCGCTTTAGGCCAGCCTTAAACTCACTGAGTAGCCTAGCCTGGCTACTCAGTGAAGTTCCAGTGATCCTCCTGCCTCAGCTTCTTGAATGCTTGGAATTATAGGCATATGCTACTATGCCTGTGTTAACTATTGTTATTCTCTTATTATTTTGTTAAGAAATTTTATTTTTTCATTTAAAAAAAAAATCCAGAGTACACTGATATGTTTTCAGGAAACCAAAGAAGTAATTCTTACCTTTTAGATGCACAGTGTTAGGCTAAACATTAATTAAAAATTAACATGAAGATTCTAGTTCCTAAGGTGTTCAAAATTTCAAAAAGGCAATTTTATTCTTCCTAAAGAACACCTATTGTATTTTTCCAATTATTTAATGAATATATGTTCATTGTAGAATACAATAAAAATCACTGTTGGGCTGGGGAGATAGCTTGGTGGTCTAAGCGCCTGCCTGGCAAGCGTAAGGACTCAGGATTGAATCCCGGTACCACATGCCATACTGGCCCCGAAACCTCAGGCACACTGCACCAGGGCAACTGGGCATGGTGGCACCCATCTGTAATCCCAGTGCTGAGGAGACTGAGAGAGAAGGATCACAAGTCCGAACTGCATAGGGAGACCCTGTACCAAATAAGTAAATAAACAAACAACAACAACAAAAAACAAACCTTTGCTAATCTGTAAGAACTGTTTACATTTTTGTGCATTTCTTCAAATCTTTTTTCTATGGTACATCTTTTTTCTTTTATGGTACATCTATAGAATACATATGATAGTATGAACATTTATAAATAGTCCTCTATTCTCAGAGATTTATACTGTTACTAATTTGTCTTTATCAAGAATGATACTATGGGGCTAAGGAGATGGCTCGGTGGAATAAGTGCTTGCCTGGCAGGCATGAGGTCCTGAGTTCAATTTGCGGTACCACCAAAAAAAAAAAAAAAAAAAAAAAAGAATACTACTATGATGAGCCTGTTGTGGTAGCACACTCCCAGCATTTGGTAGGCTGAGGCAGAAAGATGACCTTGAGTTCAAGACCAGCCTGGACTAGAAAACAAAATAAAACAACTGTAATGAACAACTTTCAATAAATTTTATCTGCAGAGCCAGGCACGGTGGTGTGTGACTCTAGCTCTCAGGAGGCAGAGGCAATAGGGTCACCTTGAGTTTGAGGCCAGCCTGGGCTACATAATAAGTTCATGGACAGCCTGCACTACAAAGTGAGAACTATCTCAAAAACAACAAAAACAAAATAAACTTTATTTATAGCTCTAATTATTTCCCAAAGCAGCTGAGGGAATAAAATTATATGTACCCTATAAAGAGATAACAATTTTGTCAATTTTTTTTTTTAAATTTAGTACAGAGTCTACAGGGTCTCACTATATAGATCTGACTCACAGTGATTCTCCTGTTTTCAGCCTCCCAAGTGCTGGGATTACAGGCATGCACCACCGCGCCCAGTCTCAATCGCCATCTCAGAGTGCCCCGTGCATGGGGTCAGCACAGCATTCCAGGGATTGAACCTGGGCTGCTGCGCTCTGCCTAAGCAGGCACTCTGCCTAAGTCAAATTGTTTTTTAAGACAGTTTTATCAATGTATAGGCCTACTTCACGATGTGAATGTTCCTATCTCTGGTCTTATTACCAGCCTTACCTGTGGAATGATTTCAATAGATGGGCCAAGTTGGTCAATGAAAAATGGTATTTTACTGTTATTTTATTTTTATATCACTTTACTTTTTAATGCAGAATATTTTGGATATGTTTAGTGGCCATCTGAATTTTTTTTTATTAGTTCTGCTTCTGAGTTTCACTGTCTTACTGATTAGCAAAATCTCTTTTAGGTTGAAATAACAGTAATTAAAATTTACTGTAGGCAGACGCAGGGGTGGGGAGTTCAATCCTCAGGCCTGCTGTGCTGGCCCCGGACCCAGGGCAGCTGAGACAGCCATTGAGACTGGGTGAGGTGGCACAAGCCTGTAATCCCAGCACTTGGGTGGCTGTAAACAGGAGGATACTATGAGTTGGATCTACACAGTGAGACTCTGTATGCCCTATATATCCTGCCCTAAAATACAAAACAAATAAATAAGTAAAAATTAAAAAAACAAAAAAATAAAATTTACGGTAGGGTTATTATGTAAATGTGAAAGGCACTAAAATGAATCATGCCAAGAATTCCTAATAACCTAAGAGGTTCTTGCTATTATGGCCCCCCTGACAGATGAACTGGCTCAAATGCAAAAGCTGGTCAAGGCAACAGAGCTAGCAAGCTGCACAGCTTGGGTTCTAACTGGTTAATCATTTGATGGAAAACCTCATAAAGTTAGATCTCTCACATCACACAAGCAAAAACTGTATGTGGATTACAGATCTAAATATAAAAATTTAGACCATGCAAATACTAGAGGATGGATTTACTCCTTTTATGCTGTTCTAGGGATTAAACCTAGGGCCCTAGGATGCTACCTAGGCAAGTACTCTACCACTATATTATTTTTTAAACTTCAATCAAAGCCTTTGCACAATGATTCGAAATATGAAGATAATAAAATATGGATATACTTATATAAAAATGTTTCCATGGCAAAGGAAATAGTAAAGCATCTGAGATAAAAATGGAAGAAATATTTGGAATATACATATAAAGAACTCTAAGGAACAAAAGACCTAAAAAAAAAACCCGTTTGGGATATAGCTCAATGGTAGTGTTTACGCGCCATGTGGAAGCCCTGGGTTGTATCTCCATTGTACGTGCAAGTGCACATGAGCACATGCACGTGGTCACACACATACACACACAGACATAAAAACAAAACATAATGCACTTGCCTGGCAAGTGCAGGGGCCTGAGTTCAACCCCTGGTTCTGCCAAAAAATAAATAAAATAAAAACAAAACATGAAATGTTCTATGCTTGCTTCAGCAGCACCTATACTAAAAATGATACTCAAACATATGAAAGAGGGGCTGGTGAGATGGCTCAGTGGTCTAAAGCACCTACTTAGAACAAGCTTAGCAAAGCACAGGAACCGCGGTTCAATCCCCCAGCACCACATGCCAGTCAGCCCCGCCCCCTGGTGGGCTGAGCTGGCCACACACACACACACACACACACACACACACACACACACAAAATAAATAAATAAATAAAATAAACATATGAAAGAACATTCAAACTTGCTCATATTAGAGAAAGGTAAATTAAAACCATACTAACATACCATTTCCCATCTATTAGACTGTAAAAGTTGTATAGTATGACAACATATTCTGTCCAGGAGGATGTGGGGCAACAGGAACTCTCATATACTATTGGTGGGAATGCAAATTAGATAATACACCCTCCTGTGGGGGGACTTTGGCAACAGCTAACACAGCTACAAATGTACTTACCTTTAAATCTAGCTATCCCATTACTAGATATATTTCCCTCAAACAATGTAAAAACAACTAAGCACAAACTTATTTATTTCAGTACTATCTGTAATAGTAAAATAATGAAAATAACCTACATATGCATATATGAGAGTTGCTGAATAAATTAAAGACAAATCTACATAATAGAGTACCACAAATTATAACAAATGAGGGAGTTTTCAGAGGGGATATAGCTCAGTGGTAAAGTATTTCCCTAGGATCACTTGAGTCCCTAGGTTTGATCCCCAGCATCAGGTTTATCACGGGTTTAAAAAAAAAAGCAGAAAATTTCAATGAATTAATTTGAAGAAAATTCTAGGATTTATTATTTAGTAAAAAAAGAAAAATAGAAATAACTCCATGCTACTCTTTAATGTAACAAAGAAGAGAATATAAAAAAATACACATTTATCTCTCATTTGTCCAAATCACATAAAACAGATAAATCAGAACTTCTTTTCAGTATCTTTCACTTTTTGAACAACAGTAATAAGAGAGTGATAAAATTTCAAAGAACTGGAAAAGGCATCTGAGAGAAAAGGGACAACTTGAAATGGTCTATTTTAAGGGTAACTAGAGTCCCTGAAGGAAAGAAGAGACCTTTGGAACTGCAAAAATATTTCAACAATGGACAAAAACTTTGTAAGCTTGACAAAAACTAAGTTCACCAAACTAAGAAGCTCAATCACAAAAAAAAAAAAAAAAAAAAAAAAAAAAAAAAAAAAAAAAAAAAAAAAACTAGAATAAAATGGTTAATGAGGGTCAGCCAAGTAGCTCAGCAGATTAAAGCATCTTCAGGCAGGCGCAGGAGCCATCCCCAATACCCAGGCCTGCCATGCTGGCCCCGCCCCCAGGGAGAGCTGAGAGGGCAATTGAGACTAGGCCTGGTGGCGCGTGCCTGCAATCCCAGCACTTGGGAAGCTGTAAACAGGTGGATCACTATGAGTCCAATCTGGTAATGAGACCCTGAACACCCTGTAGATCCTTCTCTAAAACTATAAAACAAAACAAAACAACAACAACAAAAAAACCAACAAAAAAAAACCCAAAAAACAAAAACAAAAAATGGTTAATGAAATTGCTCAAACCAGCAATAAAGAAAATCTTAAATGCTTCCAGAGGGAAAATAAAACCTGGTACAGGCAGAGGATCAAAGATTAAGACAAGATACTTCTCAACAGAAACAATATGCATGAAAATAGAATGGAGAAATGTCTTTCAAACACAGGAAAGAGAAAACTGTCGTACGGGGCCAGGGATATGGCTCAGTGACACAGCACCTGCCTGGCAGGTGCAAGTTCTTGAGTTTGATTCCCAGGTCCAAAAAAATAAAATAAAATCCACATATGGCAAAATTTCTTTAAAAAATGAAAGCGAAACATTTTATTTTCAGACATACAAAAGATGACAGAATTCATTATCAGAAGATTTGAACCACAAGAAATGCTACAGGACATCCTTATGAGAGCAGGATGCCAAGTGGGAAGCTAGGACTACGCAGAGCAATGGAGAGCACCAGAGAAAGTAATGACGTGGGCAAATATGTAAGACCTTTTTCTGACTAAAGTTTTAAAAAGATACTTAATTATTCAAATTTAGGACAAGATAAACTCTAGCTCCAAATGATCAGGAAGAGGGCTTGGGCTGGGCCACAGTGTGTACTGCAGAAGAGACTGGCAGTGTAAGCACAAGGAAGAGGCAGGGCAGTGTGAGCCAGTCCTCCTCATCCTTTCCATGGGCCACTTCTGTGACTGTCCTGTGCCTTTGTTCCCCATCTAACTACTTTAGTTCACTCATGAGTTGGTCTTAGTCTGAACCTGGTAACTGGTCGCTGTCAATCTGTTGGAAAGACAGCTCCACATTCATGACCCAGAGCTCTGACTAACAAACGTGTGTTACTTACACACAGAGAATTAGTAACTAGTGCTCAACAAGCATTTGGCTGACAGAAGCACCAACAACTGAAAAGCGAATTTCCTTCTAGTAGAGAAGGTGGCACAGAAATCAATCTCTCTCTCTCTCTCTCTCTCTCTCTCTCTCTCTCTCTCTCTCTCTGTACCCTCCCTCCCCTCCCCTCTCTCCCCCCTTCCCTCTACCCTCCCCTCCCTCCCTTCCTTAGGCACTGAGGATCAAAACCATCGCCTCACAAGCACTTTACTATAGAAATGCACCTCTGGCCTCAAAACAACTTTTAATACATGAACAGGAATAGCTGGGGAATTTTTTCTGGCATATTAACACAGCTTAAGGAAATAATAACCAAAATAAAATAGGACAGTGTTGTATTTTGAGGAAAATTTTTGTATATTTCTTGAGACATGATCCCACTATGCAGTTCAGGGTGGCCTTGAAATCACTACACAGCCCAGACTGGCCTCATCCTCCTGCCTCAGTTTCATGAGTGCTGAGATTACAGTTTTACACCAACACACACAATGAGAATAAAAATTTAAGTAAAAAGTATAAACAATGTATAAATCAGCCAATATTTTTCTTTTCTTTTCTTTTTCTTTTTTTTTTTTTTTTGAGGGGGGGTACCAGGGATCAAACTCAGGACCTTGTGCTTGCCAGGCAGGCCCTTATGCCACTATCTCTCTGGCCCAAATCAACCAATTTCTCTTACACTCTTTTTGATTCCTCTTTTACATACCTCACCAGCCTGAGATTCTGAAAGTTCCAGTAGGAAAGGAATTTCTGTGTCAAAATTAGCGAAGAAGTTAGACCACTGATGTTCGAAAGCCACCAAATCCTAGAAAAAAAATGATAAAATGTCATATAAGGGAGGGACTTCAAAAAACCAGAATCATGAAACTGCAACTAATCTCAAAATACCTGACTGTATGTATATATTGGTTAAAAGGTAGTAGCACACTACCGATACATACAACCACATGCACAAATCTTATGAACATTACATTAACTGAAAGAAGCCAGATGTGAAAGACACCAGAATTGTGTTCTTGTTGTTGTTGTTGTTCTGGGAATTGAACTCAGGACTTTGTGCTTCCCAGGCAGGTGCTGTGCTGCTGAGCCCAGTGTGATCTATTTATATGGGATATGCAGAGAGGGGAAATCTGTAGAGACACAAAGTCAACTAGTACTTGCCTAGGCTGGGTGTGGAGGTAAAGAGGGACTGCAAGTGTAGACAAGGTAACTTTTTGGGTTGATGAAAAAATTAAAAAATTGGGGGTTATGGTTGCACCACCCTGTAAATTTACTGAAATCACTAAAGTGTAAATTTTTTTTCAAAGTTTTATTGATAAACAGATAGCAATGAGACAGTTTCAAATCTAATCGGAAGTACAGTTTCAATAAATAATACACTGCATATATTCTTCTCAGTGGTTAATTGCTGTACAAGAAGTGGACTTGTGATCCTATTTACAAACACCATTAGAACAAATCATTCTATTCATTAAGAGAATGCATAAAGTGTAAATTTAAAATGAGTTAATTTTAGCACACTTATTATATTCCAAAAAGTTGCTTCAAAAGGATAGTTGGGAGGCCGGGGAGATAGCTCAGTAAGAACAAGTGCTTGCCTGGCAAGCGTAGGGTCCTGAGTTCAATCCCTGGTACCGGGGGGGGGGGGAAGGGTAGTTGGGCTGGGGAGATAACTCAGCAGTATAAGCACCTGCCTGGCAAGTTCAAAGTCCTGGGTTTGATGATCCCTGGTTAAAAAAAATATATTTTTTTTTACTCAAAAGGGTAGTTAGTGACCCTTAAGCATCTTATTTTATTCAATTATTCTTTTTTTTTTTTTTAATGTATTTAGGGGGCCAGGGAGATGGCTCAGTAGAATAAGCACTTCCTGGCAAGCACAAGGGCCTGAGTTCAATCCCCGGTTCCGCAAAATAAAAAAAACAAAAACAAATAAATGTATTTAGTACAGGGTGTACATGTTCTCACTACACAGATCAGACTCATAGTGATTCTCCTGTTTTCAGTCTCCCAAGCACTGGGATTATAGGTGCGTGCCACCATGCCCAGTCTCAATCGTGTCTCAGGGTGCCCTGGGGGTGGGGCTGGCACGGCACTCTGGGATCAAATCCTGGTCCCTGTGTCTGCCTGAGCAGGTGCTTTAATCAACTGAGCTATCTGGTCAGCCATTTTATCTACTCTTGTGGGAAGGAAGAACTTATTTATGAGGCCCCCTGATGTTCAGTTCCAAAAGTGTCACAGCATGAAGCTTTGCTGAAGGACAAATGAATGAGATAACCTTTGCAGTTCAGAGAGACAGTGGTGGCACAGAGCCCTCTCCTCTTAGAGGCCAAGTGAGTATTGAGGAACTCTACTCCTTCCCAGCTATCCTCTCCATGCCCTTCTGCTTCCTATCCTATGCTAGCTGTTTTTCAGCCTCCTCTGGTTCCCAGCCACCATATATTTATTGCATTTTGCTACTGGCTTTTGTGCAAGGCATCATCAGTTAACAACTGTAATTTGCTTAAGACACTCTTCAAGTAGTACCTTTGGTTTTACTTTGCAGTTACTAATGTGTATTCAAATTGGATATTAATATATATTCACTATTCATTTTGTACTTCGTAAAGATGAGTATGTCTAGCATGCAGCCTCGTGCTCTGCTCATAACAGGTATTCTGCCTGCTGCACCAAAGCTCACAGGCTGGACCCACACTCCCATCCACTCTTCCCTTCCAGTGCAGGCCACACAGGTACTCAGACCTCTATGCCTGCAGGAAATGCAATGAACCTCTGCTGGAATATTTAATGTGAACAGCATTCTCAATTAATGGCTTTTCTCCTTGCTGCCCAGACATCCATCCATCTAGATACCTACATGCCTATAATATATATATATATATATATATATATATATATATTTATATTCTTTTCAATAAGCATGTAGATGATAGTGTGTTGATATTCTGTGAATACATTTTCTATATAACATAGGATAAAATAAGTCAGGCAGGTAGGTGTGTGTGTATACACTGCATAAAGATGTATACACCACATAGTTTAGATTTATACTAGGCAGGCATATACCACTTAGGATTTTATTTTATTTTATGAATTTGGTACAGGGTTTCACTATGCAGCTCAGATACATAGTGATCCTCCTGTTTTCAGCCTCTCCAGTGCTGGGATTACAGGTGTGCACCACCATGCCTGGACACAATCGACGAGTCAGTGTGCCCCAGGGGTAAGGTCAGCATGGCATGCAGGACTGGGGATTGAACCCTGGTCCCTGTACTTGCCAAAGCAGGTGCTTAGTTCACTGAGCTATCTCCCCAGCTAACAGTTAGGTTTTTGTAAGTATACTCTATGATGTTTGCACAAGGACAAAATTTCCCAATAACACATTTTTCAGAATATGTCCCATTATTAAATGGCAACTGACCATACATACACATACACAGAAAGAGAGAGGGAGGGAGTAAAGAAGGGAGGGTAGAAGGAAGGAAGGAAGGGAGGGAAGCAGAGGGAAGAAGGAAGGAGAAATGAGAATTATCCATCTACTGCAAAGATCTAGAGACAATGACCAGGTTAGAAGTAATGATTATTCCTACTGCCCAAGATTGTGGTGCTGAAATATTATTTTCCATTTAAAGAAAGCAGATTTTTTTTTTTTTTTTTTCAGAACTGGGGATTGAACTCAGGCCCTTGCACTTGCCAGCAAAGCCCTTATTCCACTGAGCCATCTCCCCGGCCCAAAGAAAGCAGAATTTATTAGAGAAAAGACTAATTCCAGGTTTGGACCAGAACAGTAAGTATACAAGCAATGTGCCTGGACCACCTTTTCATAACAGTTGGCAAGGCAGCTATCAAGGACTATTAGCATTGAATTAAAAGGACAGAACAGCCAGGCGTGGTGGCACACACCTATATTCCCAGCTACTCAGGAGGCTAAGATAGATGTATTCTAAGCATCTAGAATATATCTGGCAAGTGCAAGGACCTGGGTTTGATCCCCAGTACCACACGCCATGCCAGTCTGGTTCTGGATGTGCCATGATGGCCACCAAAACCACGTATGGTGTCACATGCCTATGATCCCAGCACTGGGGAGGCTGAGACAACAGAATCATTACAAGTCTGAGCTGCACAGCGAGACCTTGTACCAAATAAATAAGTAAATAAATAAAATATTATTTTAAAAACATTTAAAGACATATTACAGTGATACATGCATACCCATATTTATAGCAGCACAGTTCATCATAGTTAAATCTTAGAAACAGCCTTTATGTCTATCAACAGACACACAGATAAAGAAAATGTGATATATACACACAATGGACTACTACTTTGCCATAAAGGACAACTTTGAGTCATTTGTGGGAAAATGAATGCATGGGAGATCATACTGTTAAGTGAAATATATTAGACACACAAGCTTAAATCACAGGGTTTCTCTTATATGAGAAGTCTAAAGTGCATGTGATTTAAGGAACAAAGTAAATAGGTAATAGGAAACAGGGAGACAGCTCTTTTGTAAACAGGAAAGGACCAAGAGACGGGGGAAGGGAATAAAAAGAATCAAGATGTGTCATGTATATACATGTACCAACTCCCCAAGATGAATGTAATCATTATGTACTACAAACACGTAGTAATAAACATTTAAAAAAATTAAATCCCAACTGAGGACAAATAGAAGACAAATGATCTTGTTTCTTCAATTCAAAGCAAGGGGGAAACAGAGGTGGAGGGAGAACCAACAGAGTAAGAAACCTAATGCATTCTGCTCTGTGAACGCATGAATGAATGCCACAGACAGGCAGCCCTGAACCACGTGCTTACAGAAGCACCTCTGGAAGAAAAAACTGTAAAGGAAATAAGGAAATGTTATCATAAAATTCACAATAGTTTTACCTATTCTTGGACAAGGAGGAAGAAGTTATGGGGTTGGCAGACAGCGCCCAGACAGCTTCTGAGGCAGTTAGCAATTTATTAAGTTGAAATTAGTATTATTCTGTTGCCTGAGTCTGTTATTTTAATAAACATCTTTAAAGACAAATATGTAAGTAATAATTGTTCATTACAGAAAATCATTAACATGTTCTCATTCTAATTTTACTTACGCATTTTATGTATCAAGTATTCATGTACTTGTGATGTGTAATCTATAGTAAGCACCTGGGTCAGACTTCCCTGCCATACTATCTCTGGATATGGCCCAGTAAGTCAGCCTTTCAGGCTTCAGGTTCCTGGCCCACTTGTTAGTAGGTCCATCTGGTGTCCTTGACGTTGGTTCCGGGACAATCTTCCCACTTTGGGCAGGATTTAATTCCTTCAAAGGTTTTAATTCCTTCAAAACCTTCTGGACTCAGAAAAGAAGCATACTCCCTACTTTTTCAATTGATACTTTAAACAAAGACCTTCTGTGTCTGATTCCTCTGGTCCAGGTTAACTCCTCATGTAAAGCTGGCTGCCACTACCTCTTAACACTGAAAGTTTCTTTTTTTTTTTTATTTATAATTTTTTTTAAACATTTATTTATTGTGTGTGTGTGTGTGTGTGTGTGTGTGTGTGTGTGTGGCCAGCTCAGCCCACCAGGGGGCGCGGCTGGCTTGCATGTGGTGCTGGAGGATCGAACCGTGGTCCCTGTGCTTTGCCAAGCTTGTTCCAAGTAGGTGCTTTAGACCACTGAGCCATCTCTCCAGCCCCTGAAAGTGTGTTTCAATTGAGAAAAATATGTGCTACCTTGAGACCATACTCTTAAGTGAAATGCATCAGACATATATGTGTAAATATCATATTATTTTTCTACGGTGAGAAACCAAA